TGTTTATAGCAGTGTTAATTAAATTACTAGGTTACATAGTGGGAGACCTCTCATTCGAAGCATCGTCGAAATAACATAACTTTTTGTTAAAACTAAAAGTATAGATTAAAAATAGAGATTAAATATTCCTCGTAGTAGCTTGACGTGAAAAATGAACCCGGACGCTTCTGTTTTTAATAATAGGGATCCAAACTGTCGTAATACTTTTTAAATTTAAATTGGTCACTAGGTCGCATTAGGTGTCCTACATCACATACACAGGCAGGAGTAACATAGTGGGCGATCGCGTATGCGCAGTATCTCACGAAATAAAAAAACTTTTTTTAAAATTATAAGTTTAAAATAGAGATTGAATATTCTTCGCAGTGGCTTGACGCGAAAAATGAATCCAGCTGCCTCTCTTTAATCATTATAGGGGCCCTGATTGATGTAACACCATAGATATCATATAACACATATGATATCTATGTGTAACACTCATTAAATTTAAATCCGTCAGTAGATGGCGGTGGGTGTCCTATATCACCAGAGCATATAAATCACACGGTGATTTATATAATGCTCTGATATCACATACATAGTTGCATATCCAGCCTTTATAACAAATACAGTATTTTGATCAAATATTGTTTATAATTCAGAGAATATACTCAGATGCTATACGATTAAATGAGCGACACATTTTTCTTGCTTCTGCTCGACATTTATATGCTGTAACCGATCTAACCGTATCGTGTGTACGTTCGCTCGGAAATAGTGCTACACCGTAAGTTTTTTATGCATTTATGTTTATCAATAATACATATAAATTCACATACAGTTAATAATGCGGAGAAAATTACTACACAGGTAGAGCGTAGATCCGCGCTTAAATAATTACTTATCGTTACTTGTTTTTACCGTGTAGAAAGTAATGTGTATGTAGATCTACAGTGGTCGTGATGCATCCATGTAACTCTGCGTGCGTCCCTTCCGTTTGTGTGCGTGCGTGCGTGCGTCCCTTCCGTTTGTGTGCGCGCGTGCGTGTCCATTCCGTTTGTGTGCCTGCGTGCGTGTTCATTCCGTTTGCGTGCGTGCGTACGTCCGTTTCGTTTGTGTGTGTGCGTGCGTACGTCCTTTCCGTTTGTGTCCGCGCGCGCGTACGTTCCTTCCGTTTGTGTGCGTGCGTGCGTAAGTCCATTCCGTTTGTGTGCGTGCGTGCGTAAGTCCATTCCGTTTGTGTGCGTGCGTGCGTAAGTCCATTCCGTTTGTGTGCGTGCGTGCGTAAGTCCATTCCGTTTGTCACGGTGCGTGCGTGCGTACGTCCATTCTGTTTGTGTGCGTGCGTGCGTAAGTCCATTCCGTTTGTCACGGTGCGTGCGTGCGTACGTCCATTCTGTTTGTGTGCGTGCGTGCGTAAGTCCATTCCGTTTGTCACGGTGCGTGCGTGCGTACGTCCATTCTGTTTGT